AAAGCATCATCAAGTACACAAGGAAATTTACTATGTGGATATTTGGATTTTAAAGTTTGTTCTGCTTTAAAGATGAGAATTAACAGGAAATAGGAAAGCATATTGCAATGTTTGTCTGCATAGTTTAAAGTTCTGGTGATAGTTAATCTACTACAGTACTAAGACTATGGAAGTCCTTCATGCTGAATACATATTTTTTAAATACATATTTTTTAGTTTTAAATAACTAAAATGTATTTTAGTTTTTGTTCTGTCATTTACTCGCATATGAACTTGCACAAATTCCACTCCTAAATCTTGGTTTCTTCATCTTTAATAGAAAAAAAAGTGCTCTAGTTTTTGCGAAGTCTCTCGTGATCCACTTGGCACCGTTCTGATGCAGAGGAGAGGCTGCTCTGATGATTTTGGAGGTTAATGCTGCCATTGCTGTCATTGGAGACATTCCTAGCTCTGACTGAGCTTCCAGAAAAAGTCAGTTTAAGCCCAAGGAGAATTTGAATGGAGAAACAGGAGAAGAAAAGACAACTTAAGTCAGCAGATCTCTCTGAATGAACACAGGGTGTCTGCCCCCTGGGAGTAATCACGTTGTTCTGAAATACTAGAATTCTAAAGGCATGAGCTGCCCGGGACATCAGAAGTCTTAATTGTGTCTGGCACAAGTAGGAAAGAAACAAACAAAGACCTGTCAGACCTTAAAGTAAGAGTGAGATTTAACATTTATTTGGATTCTAAACTTCTAAAAGCCTGCCTCACAGACTATGTATGTACAGTAGATTAGGAAATGACCTCGCAGTAACAAGGCTTGTGGGTATAAAGCGAGGACTTTGGGGATCACTCAGGTGGAAGGAAAGACCACCTATACAGCAAGGCTCGTGTGTTGAGTGTAAAAGTGACTTCCATATTCCTATCCATGGTTATTGATTTTTCAGGCTAAGCCTGCTGACCACTATTTCACACTGCCCATGATATTTATATTTTACGTGAAATAAAAATCTGATTTTGCCTTTCTGAATTTGAATATCCAATTCTTCCACTACTTATTGAGGAGACCATCCTTTCTCTCTTGTCTAGACTTAGTTCCTTGGTTGAAAGTCATCAACCATGAGTGTGTGGTATTATCTCAGGCCTGTATTTTGTATCATCGTTTACTATAAGTATACCCAAATACAGTGTTTCTTTGGTTACAATGGTCAAGTAATAGGTTGCCTCTTGCTTTGCTCTATCTGTTCAACATTGCTTTGGCTAGCTGGGAAATTTCATGTTTCCATATGGAGGGAAATCAATGCCAACTGCAAGCAAACAAAATAGTAAATCCAACCCAAAAACTGAATGTGAAGCGAGAAACTGCCATAAAAACACAAATATGTTTTTTTTTTTTTTTTTTTTTAGCAGGTGGTGACCTCAGAAACAGTAGGCAATACTAATGATTAAAGAGAGAAGATTTGAATAACCAGTAAGCTCCTGCCACCTGAGCAAATTCACCAAGCATCAGACTAATGGGGAGAACCAGGATCTGTTTTGTCACAGATAGTCTAGAGGGATAGTGTCTGTTCCAGTGATATGGATTAGAGCTTCCTGGGGCTGAGAAGTCTACTTAGGTTTCCCAAGACAACAGCCCGTGGCCTGCACTTATCTTTCCATTCCTTGATGCAGAGCCTGGCTTCAAAAGGCAGCATCTCCTCTCTGTATTAGCACCGGTTTGCAATGGATGGGGAGCACATTATTCCAAACAGCTGCTGTTGCAGAGTGAGGAGCTTTGAAAAGAACAGTGCAGTATCCTAATTACCTGTGGCAAGAAAAACATCTGTGTAAGGGAGGTAATGAAATTAATTTTAACATCCAGCAGTTGCATACATTAATTGACATTAATTAATGCCAAATTACATGAGACTTCCTATGGAATCGCATCACACACTCACCAGAATAGAATATGGAAAGAGTTCATCATACGTAATGCTATTACAGCAAACCTCGAGGGGAATAAGAGTGATTGGTCCCTCGTTATGAACTGCAGCCAATTTCTTTCTGTTTCCATTAGAAGGAGAAAGGGAGCAAAATGAAAACTCCACAAGGCCAGCAGCTCAAAGCTGACGGTTTTGAGGTCACGTTCCTTAAGCTTGTAAATTTCACTTTTTAGCATCCTGAGCAGAAACAGAAGACGAATTTTGACTTTCCTCTTGTTACCTAGCTATATTATATTATAATTCCCGGCTCGAACATAGGCTCACTGTACAGGAAAATCAGAGTAATCAGAATGAGAAGGTGGGAGGAACCAGAATGTTCAGAGGTGTCTGTTGGAACTGCTTATCTCCCAAGCCCTCCGTCGTTCTCCACTCACCCCAGTGAGAAGTGCTGGATCAGCAATTTGACTTCCCAGTGTCCGATTCTTTCACTGACAGCCTTGTTATGACTGTTGACATCTCATGTATGTTTTATTCACAGTCCTGCTCAGGCTCACATAGATTGATNTATCTTTCCAAAAAGTGGATCCATACTATAATATTGTGCATCCTATTTTAGAAGTTTTTATTTGGAAATAACTTTAGGAAGACCGAAAAGTTACCAAAGTGATTCAGAATATGTGCACTCGACACAGTCTCATCTACTTTAAGCACTTTTATAACCAAGACCACAATGTACAGAGGTAGGGAAGCACTATTCTGTATCTCTGGTCCCACCCTTCACTTCTCTTTTACCGGTACTAGATCTGAATGCCCTGTGATAGATCAGCAATGTGAAGGGGATTAGGAAGACTCAGAGTGGTCTTAGATTTGGGGGGATTAGTCCTCATGTAGGAGCCTGTTAGTCATATAAGGAAGGGAGACACGACGAATGCAGCGTTGGCTTTCCCAGCAACTGGAAGAGGAGGGTGTGTGGCAGAGTATGTATATGCTGGCATGCTACTGGAGTGACAAAGGTCAGTCACTCGTCTTTTAAACAACCATCGTGTTTCTCAAATTAACACTATCCCTGGTGGGGGGACGGGGGAACAAACAAAAAAAATCAAGAAAATGATGACTAATAATAATCATTGAATTTTATATAGGTTTAAATTTCAAAACGTGTAGCAAATTTATTATTTAATTACATATTAATTAATTTTGTGTAGTAACTAATCCAGAAAATGGCTGATGTTGTGTTATCACTGCGTAATAGCTGAAGGAGGCAGGTTTTGAGATGATGAAGTGATTTTCTCGGAGCTATGCATCTGGTACATGACCACAGCTAGAACTGAAGCCCAGGTTTCATAGAAAGAAACCTTCTTTTCTTTTGTGTCCCCAGGCAACCTTTAAGAAATATGGATCCACTTAAAGGCTGCAAAATGGTCTAGAGGACTGTGAAACTGTGAGGTGAAGATTTTGTGCATTATAGAGATGGAAAAAGGAAAGTCTCAAAGATTGTTGTTAAGGAGAAAGATCTTAATTTGTGCAAAAAAAATGGAACTATGTGATGTCTAAAGAAAAGGAGGTGGAAAGGATATTTAAAGGTTTTTACTTTTGTTCAACGTTAGGTTTTACCAGTTCTCAGTGGGGTTTTAGACTGGATAGCTGGCCTGTGCTGGTACAAGGTCTTCTACTGAAGGAAGGTTTGAAGTAGAACTTTTGTTTCATCATTTACAGGTCTACTAGCAACTACATCAGTCAAGGGTCAGCTGGACCAAATGTGCATGCTGCCCCCTACTGACATAGGAGACGTTCTTGGGGAATTCTTTGCTAATTTTGAGAAGTCTTTTATGAACCCTTGGATCCAATTTAGCACAACGTTGCCCATCTCGACTTTCTGTCAATGATCAAGTTTTAATATTTCATTTAGGAAAAAAATGTCTGTAATTAAGCAGATGTAATTAAGGAGTATTCACATTTTTGCTTACAGTGTGCCAGGACTAGAATTAGGATTTAGGGGTATAACAGAGAGAAACATACACACACACACACACACACACACACACACACACACACCCCATGTCTTCATAAACACTATTTTATAATTGAAGCAGGGGAAGCAGGGAATAGAAGCAGATAGTGAGGTATCATTGGTATAGCATCTAAATTTTATTCATGGAAGGTCTTCAGAAGTAGATGGAGGCTGAATCGAGAAGCACATTGGTAACTTGGTGCAATTCTCCTTGAAGGAGAATGGGTAACTTGGTAACATTGGTAAAATTCTCTGGGAAGGAGGAAATGTAGGTAGAAAGTCTTTAACACCAGGAGGAAGTTGGGCAAACTTATAAACATAAATTAGGAGATTAGAAAACTCACGGGCAGAGTAAGAGAGATAGGTAACCAGGAGAGGAAAGTAGATATGGTAGCCAGAGGAGGGGCTGAATGTATTCCAGTGTGGTTTTATGTGGCATATTAAATGAATACTGGCATAAAAGGATTTTATAGATGCCAGAGCCTCTCTAATACAACATCCGTGAAGCAATAGAGAATGAACTGACCAGAGCCATCATTATGACTCTGTGTTTATTGGCCACTGTGCAGTCTCAGCTGAAAACTCGGGTTTCAATTTACTCACCTCTAAAATGAGAACAAAGGTTTTGAATTGGAGATGTTGCTATTGTGTTTCATTTCCAATCCACAAAGAAGCACCTTTATCTTATTAAGGATTATAGTATTCATTCAGCAGAATTTCCACCTGAGATTTTAAAATACTGCAGGCAAGTGTGCTTCCCTGCTTTTCAGTCAAAGATCAAAGTGTGGAGCTGAATTCAAATAAAGATGAAAATTTGGTTACAAAAATCACAATGTATTATGTCAGTTTTTGAAGATCCTTTCTTTTGTGTTTAGAAGGGAAAAGGTAAAGAAGAATTTTGTATGTAGGATTACAAGACTTGCTGGACATTCCAGGAGAGTGCGGTGCTGGTAGCCACATAATAAAATAACAAAGGCAATTTGAACAGTAGTGAGTACTTAGAGAGACTGAGACTTGGTTGAACACTTTATAATTTCAAGAGAAATGTACATTGCCTCTGAAGCTTCTGTCTTTGTCTTTTCCAGACTCGCAATACCTAACTTGTCGGATGCAAAACTGCACAGAAACCAACAGAAATAAGCCTTTCCCAGGCTACATTGACCCCGACTCCTTGATTGTTCAGGATGATTATGTGTTTGTTCAGGTAAGGAGACCCGACTTCTGCTCATTGGCTCAGGGCATTTCTAGTGTCTGTCTTGTTATAGCTCTTTCTGCATGCCTGCACACCCTCAGGGGGAAGGAAAAAATGGATCAGAAAGGGGGGCAAGAAGGACAGAGAGAGGAGAGAAGGTGGAAGAGGGGAGGAGGGAAGAGAGGGAAAAAGGGGTGGAAGGGAGGAGCGAGGCTCAAGGGCAATTTTTTAGCCTATTCTCTGTAGGAATTTGCCAAGCTGTCTAAAACGTGCTTTGACCCAGGAGTGATATACATTGCTATTTACCTGTGTCCACAAAGAAACTCCAGGCATGAAGTGAACTGAGACATTACATCCATTTCTCCTTATCAGCCCCCTCCTCAATACCACTTCAAAGAAAAGAATGTGAATGGGAAATTGTGTGGGAGATGGAGGTGGGACTGGCAAGAGGCCAACAAGGATAATCCCCTGGTATGGTCAGGAAACACTGTGGTTCCCAGGGAAACATGGAATGGCTAATTTCCTTCTCCTAATGGAATGAAAAACTATTTGGGAAGTGAGATTTCATGAGTAGTGACAGGAGACTGCAGTAACCATGCTCTGTTTCATTTAGCTCTTAAGAATTGTTTTGGTCTTGTTCAGTCAGTTCATCTAAAAATCATGTTATTACTTTATAGGGTAAGAATGGAAAAGGTATAATTGCAAAATAAGTGTATAAATATATACATTTACAACTAATTAAGTGAATGCATCAAATATTAATATAAATATATTTATATAATATATGGGTATATACACATGCTACAGTTAAGGTACATTCTAGGCACGAGTTTATTTGAAAAATACATTATGATATCTATTCTGTTCATTAAAAGAAGACTTCCCAGAATCAGCCTATGTAACTCTGAAATGTTTCACAAGTTCCCTTTTGTTCAGGGATAGCTTCAAGTGACATTCAAATGGTTGATGTCCTGTCCCATTCACTGCTTCAACACTGATGCTGTCAGGAGTATTTCTCTGGTTCCTGGCAACAATTTATAATCCACATATCAGGCATACAAATCAATCTCAGAATCTATATTTAGAATTTTATGAGTAACCTCCTAAAACCCACCATTTCCACACATAGTGCTGAAGAATGTCTCTTTCCAGTCACTCCCCTGTGTCTGATGATCATTTACCCCAAGCTTTGTTGACATTCCAAGCAAGCAAACTCCAGTGACATTCAAGCCGCAGATATTTACATAGGTCAAGGCTGGCACATTGTCAGAGGTGCCTTCTACTCTGCCCAGAGTAGTGTTCAAGTCTTGATGGAAACCACACCTTTTCCTTCTGTCCTGCAAGCCCTGCAGGATCCATTGATCTGCTTTGGACAAAACAGTGCCAGTTTCTAAAAGATAGAGACCAAGAATTAATTTGGAACCCAAATCTGAAGTGACGTTTTGCTAACATGCTTGAATACACACTAAGACATCGGTATGATGCTGTCAATAGGAACTCTGTGTGGAGATGAGAAGGCTTCTCTCCACTGCTGAATCTGAGATACTTCCTTCTGTCCCATTATGACTACTTGTATGGCAGGAACTTGAGGCTGAAAAGCCAGACGGCTGAAGCACAGTGAGCTAATATCTCCTGAGGCTTCTAGCATTGGAAAGAACAGAGCTAATACACTTTCTTGACTTTAGAGTCACTAAATTATGTATCTAGTACATATAATTTATACTATATAAATTGTATATATATACTATATAGATATTGTCTATATAAATATATGCTATTCATCTAGCATATATAGAAACATACATATGCATATATATACACTCATAATTTATATGTACATATAATATGTAACATATGCACAAACAACACATACACACACACACACACACATATATATAATTTATTTTTCTGTGTCAGTGTTTTTCCTTTCCTGCTTTTTCATGTCTGTGTACCACATGCCTGGCTGAACTCAGGAGAGGAAGTCAGATCCCTTGGAATTGGAGTTACAGATGGTTGGGAGCTGCACTATAGGCTCTGGGAATCAAAACCCAGTCGTCTGGAAGAGCAACAAGTGCTCTTAACCATTGAGTCATCTCTCCAGACCCACAGTGCAAATTTGCAGATTACATTTTCATCTATTAAATGGTTGTTGTTGGGCTTCTGGGCCCCCCTATACAGTGGGTAAGTTGCTTTCTGTGAATACCAACCATGGGTAGCGTCCTTGGCAGGCACTGTTGGTGCTGTGTGGCAGCTGCCTGCTCTGCTCAAGCAGCAGGTCTTCTGTGACCCCACATGTCTCCCATAGCTCCTCTTAACACCTTGTTTCTGTGATCCAGCTGACATCTGGAGGAAGACCACATTACTACGTGTCCTACCGAAGAAGCACGTTTGCACAAATGAAGCTCCCGAAATACGCTTTGCCTAAGGTACATGTTGGGTTGTGGTTTTCATTGCTTTTCTCTCAGCTACAGTCTACCTCAACCATATTTCCAAGGTCACTGCCAGCATCCAGTAAGGAGTCCCCTGCTCATTCAGCTCTACTTCTGCATTTAGGCTTCCCAATTCCTATTGGTTTTTCTGTCTTCCTTTCTCTCTGGGTCCTTCTCCTGTTCTCTTTCCCTCTGATTTTTCTTTCTTTGGAATTCTTGCTATAGAAGTGCCTGGGTAAGTTAATAATATCCTCATTTTTGTCTTTCAATATTAAACATTCCCAAGCAATATGTTTGTTTTTAAATCAAAACAGAAAAAAAAACATTAACTTTATGCTATAGAACATTAGTTGTTCTCAGTGGGTGTTGGGAAGCGGGTTATCTTCAGAGACCTAGGAACAGCTGAGTCTCCTGACTTCTCTAGTTAGCCTTTCAGAAACAGTAGAAAGTAAAAGTGAGATCTCGACCCTCATCCCTGGCTGGCATCCTCGGGCTCTTTCCACAAACTCTGAAAAACTGTGTTAATATGGAGCACCACCTAGTGGAAAACAGGTGATATGGCGTCTTAAAAATACCTATTTGTAATCTCAAGATTTCTGTGTTATATTTGAAGTGATCAAAGTTTAGCCTATTGTGGCTGAATTTTACAGCAAATGAAATGTAAGGGGGGTATTAAATATATATATAAACAGAATTATAACTCAACTCTTAATAATTTAAGTTGAACACAGAATATAATGAAACTTATTTTGAGCCGAGTCTCATCTTTAAGTAAAATTAAAACGCAAGAGGAAGGCTGAGAATTGTTAAAATTGTCTGTGAGAGTCTCCTAGTAAGGATCCCACAAGAGACAGCAATTCAGGGGGAAAAAGGGAGTACCCCTCCCTTAGCTGAGTACTGAAGTGAATTGTGATTCATTGTCCAAAATTTGAAGAAAAGTTGGGCAATGGGTTTTTGATTCTACTGGACCTATTGGTTTCGTGGGAGCCTAGGCAGTTTCGTGGATGCTCACCTTACTAGACCTGGATGGAGGTGGGTGGTCCTTGGACTTCCCACAGGGCAGAGAACCCTGATTGCTTTTTGGGCTGACGAGGGAGGGGGATTTGATTGGGGGAGGGGGAGGGAAAGGGGAGGCAGCGGTGGGGAAGAGACAGAAATCTTAATAAATAAATAAATTAATTAAAAAAATAAAAAAGAAAAAAAAAAGAACAAGATTTATACTCACATCAGTGAGGTGCCCTGAGTCAAGAGGCTTATAGAATGGAGCCTAAATCAGAGGACCGCATATTTCACTCATTCCTCGCACACTCCCTCTTGGGTCAGCATATTCTTAGAATAACTTCAGCTAAAACCAAATTCTATCTGCCACACAAACAAGGTTGGAGCCCAAATTTTCTGTCATCCATACTAGTGATTTCTATAATTTTCTTCCCTGGCAGGTAAATTAATAACTCCCTTTGTTAAAGCTTAGCATGTTCCCCACTCGACCAAATTGTTGTGCTATCAAAAAAACATGAAGGAGGGGAAAAGCCACACTGGTGTAGACGCCCTAGAAATGGTAGGTTAAACTCAACGGCTTCTGTGGATGGACTGCTGGACAGGTGTTTTACATTGCTTGTCCACAGTCCTTGCAGAGATCACCGTTGGCAGCTGTTCCCAGTGGCCTCTAGACAATCTAGAAGGCAGCATTTCCCACTGCCTTTGGAGCTGAACTGACCATCTGCACCACCCCGTCCCCTGCCACCCAGATGATCATGTTCCATGACTTAGCCTCATATGAGTTCTCAGGGTAGGATGAAGCAATTAATTTGGCTTGTTACTACGAAAATGGAAGCAAGTGTCACATATAAAAGGATTATTTAGTCCAGGTGGGTGTTTATAATTTAAATCAAAAGAGAAACTTCATTAGAATCCCGTTAGAGCTTCAAAGAGAAGCTCCAGCATGGGTGGAGTGTTCTGCCTCCAAGGTGCTGCCTTACATGGCCTCCTGTCAGAACCAGGGCTGCGTCTGCAGGCGAACAAAGCTTCACGCTGATGGAAGAAATGGAGACACATCTGCTCTCTCCTGCTCGAATGTTTTTCATCACACCTACTGCCGTCGTATCAGATGTTGACAGAACAAAACGTTGCCTTGGGCTGTGTTTAAACAATTAGTTATAAGTGAAGGGAAACCATCAAAGAGTGACAGCTAAACGTTGCCATGGCAGGTCAGAGGATATGGCCTGTGAGCCAGAGTGACACAGTGAGTTCTTGCTTCCCCTGACTGACTCGCAGCCTCTTCTTAGCAGCTCCAGCGAGATAAATGAGGCAATACACACGAAGCGCCTCCAGGGTTTTAGAGGACAGATACTCCATAAAAGCAAGGTAATATTATTATTAGTATGGATCTAGTTGTCTCCATAGTGGAAGATAGATGGGTACCAGAATACACGGGGTACAAAGGATGCTCAATTTGCAACAGGAGACCTAACTTCAGACGTGGATCTGTCACTAACTTGCTTAGAAACCTTAGCTATCTGGGTTTTATTACTTTTTCTTTTATTCATTTTTTAAAAAATAAAGAGCTTAGAATCAAAACAATATTTTCCTCAATTTGTCACTCAGAATAAAATGTCCCTGGCGATATATTGGAAAATTTTGGTTCTGTAGTCAAATAAATTTAAAAAGAAAGTAAACTTCAATCTGTGTGATTTCCTTAGAGACTAAGAGGAGCTTACTAATATCGCTGTGGTTCATGAACATCCTATGAGCAGCAGAACCCTTTAGTTCAGCATTAATTCAATAGTTTACCACCATGCACAGTAGAGGAAACCACAATTACCCCAGCCTCTGGGAGGCAGAGGCAGGATTATTAGTAGTTTGAGTCCAGGGACTGGAGAAATGACTTAGTAGTTAAGAGTTTGTGCTGCTCTTCCAGAGAACCTGTATCAGGTATCTCTAGCCTCAGCTCCAGAGTATCTGACACCCTCTTCTGGCCTCCAAGGCTACTCACAAGTGCATGTGTGTGTGTGTGTGTGTGTGTGTGTGTGTGTGGTATATACTCATAAAGATGGAGACATCCATATGCTTAAATAGAATAAAAATAGGTTTTGAAAAGAAAAACAAGTTGAGCTGAGACGATTTACTGATTTCAAGGCTAACTTGGTCATAGAGCTGACTATATAGATTGATTCTATTTTATAAGTAAGCACACACAAAAACCCGAAGGAATAAACCACCACCACTAGCACATACAAAAAGGTTCAAAGGAGCTTCTATCTCCATTGAAAAATCCACTAAAACCCAGTAATGCTAGTAACCTATAGAACAGACTTTGCAAGGTATTCTAGTAGAATTCCAAATAAGAGTCTGGACTGGTTCAGAATCAGGGGAATCAATGCAGCAGTAAGAACACATTTTATTTATAAGTTGTTGGGGAAAGGTGAATTAAATTCCAAATGTATCAAACATTTATGACCAGCATCATCGTGTAAAGTCTACTTAGTAAAATTACATAAAGATAATCTTCAGACATGGTCATTTTTCCCAGTTAACATTGTATGACGAGTTCTCTAAGCGATCCTGTTAAAGCCATGTAAAAGAGATGTATTTTCAATATTGTGTTAGTTATTTGTCCTGTTGCTGTTGTAAAATACCCTGGCAAAAGCAACTTACAGGAAAAAGGGCTTAACTTGGCTCACAGTTCAAGGTGCTCAGAATTGGATCCTTGCAGCAGAGGCTTGAGGCTGCTGGCCATGTTGCATCTGCTTTAAGGAAGCAGAGAGAGATGAATGTCTGTGCTCAGCCACCTTTCCCATGTTCATTCAGTCCAGAACAGAGCCCAAAATGCTGTTCCCCTTCGGGATGGGTCTTCTCAAGTCAGTTAACCCAGTCCAGAGAATTGTTGTATTCCCAGAGTCTTATCGCTAAGGTAATTCTTGTCAAGCTGATGATTAATGTTAGCTCGTATCTACAAGAACCAAATCTCCACAGTGGATTACGAAGTACAAAGCCGTAGAAGTATGACAGTCGTCTCTCAGGATTGCGTTCTCAAGTCTGTGGTGTGTGTCCATCAAAAGCTCACTGCTGCAGAAACTCACACAGAAGCCTATGGGTGGGAACTGGCTGTGCTAGGCGCAGCTCTCATTTGAAACAATTTAACAGAAATCCAGGATTATAACATACTTGAGGGAAGGACACATAAACAGGAAGGAGTTGTTCAGCTGTTTTAAAGGTTTTGGCTTCTATCCTATTATGAATTAGGAACCATAGAAGGTTTGTCCACTTGAACGAACTAGTGAACTTAAGGATAATTTCCGTAGCTAATTTCCTCCATCAGACAGAAAACATTTGGATGAACCTTTTCTTGAGTATAACAGTGAGTGAATATTGAAATATTTCAAAGGCAGAGAAGCCAAGTTGATCTTTCGTAATCAACAAAAAGGATAGACAGACTCCCTTAAGTGAAACACTGACTGCCCTAAGTGGTGAATATTGTTATGGTATTTGAGACTTGCTGATTTTATCTTCACTGTCCTGTGAAGCACATGTTATTGTTATCTTGTGCTCACAGACAGAACATCTGAGCACAAAGTCACTCAGGTGACTGTGTCCCAAGCCGAGACGGAACTCAGATTATGAGAACTCGAGGTTAGAAGGAGGACTCAAGGCACACTGAACAATTTGGGTCAGGATGGTTTCTGAGAAGATCATCAGATGTAAAGTTTCTCAAGCGTACAGACAGCATGGTCCATTTATGAAGATTTGAGTTTTACAAAATCCAAGGTCATTTCTATATTTTTCTTTTGCTGTATATTTTTTGGGTACCTCTGTTTATTTTTGGCCTTTTTATATTTTAACTGCTTTACTCTGAGTTCTTTGGAATTTATTCTATGTAGACTTTTTAGGCCACAGGATTAAAAATCAGCTCAAAGCACAGCAGCAGGCTTCCCTTAAGGAAACAGTAGCCTTGACTGGAGACAACCAGTTTCAAATAGTGTCAGACAGTGGCTAGAGTCCTGAGTGGGGAATGAAGGATTTGGAATTCTTGCGAGAGGATGGCAGATGAGGCCTTCATGTTCTTTTCACTTAACTACTCTGTCTTTGGGGTCTGGGAGCACCATCCTTTATGATAACTCCTTCATCGCGTGTGGTTTTCTTAGAGAACATGGCAGAGGAAAACATTAGATTAATAGCTGAATTCATAACCAATTGCTAATACAAACATTAATGCTTTGGGATTTTTCTGGTGGACTTTTTTTTATTCCCTAGGGAATTTCAGGGTGTTGCTGAACCTTTGACAGTGCTTGTCAAACTTGAATGTGCATATTATTCATGGAGGGACATCACTAAAAGGCACATTGTAATTCAGTGGGTAGGGTCTGAGGTTCAGTGTGTCTAAGGAGTTTGCTGCCAGTACCAGTGCTGCTAGTCTACAGACTACAGTGAAATCCAGGACTTGTCTGGCTTCTTCTGGCTACTGCAGATTGTCCTTATATTTTCCTTGTGTATGACTTCTGAGTAGTAGTATGCAAACTTGACAAATACATAAAAATGACTGGTTCTCCAAATTCATGCATGTTTAGGAACATTGACTTCAAATTGTCTAACAAGGCAATTAAATTGTAATAAGACTTCTATACCTCCTTCTTTCTCATTGTGCCATGGTTCATTGCTTCACCCCAAAGTGACAGAGAAAATGCTCAATTACTACTTAACTCTCCTTTTGGTGGGGGGCATTTGAGACACAGTATCTCTGTGTAGCTTTGGAGACTGTCCTGGAATTCTCTCTGTGGACCAGGCTGTCCTCAAACTTACAGAGATCCATCTGCCTCTGCCTCCTGAGTCCTGGAATTAAAGGTGTGCCATAACTGCCTGGTTTAACTCATTTTCATAAATGTGAAAGGTAACTTTTGCTATCTCTCCCTCTGCATCCCATCAAAGCTCTTCATCATCCACATTCTTTGAGTGTGTGCCAGGTTAGTGTATAAAATCCTTCCCGCTTCATTTCCTTGTGTTCTTCTTCAGGACATGCATGTCATTAGCACAGATGAGAACCAAGTGTTTGCAGCCGTCCAAGAATGGAACCAGAATGACACGTACAACCTCTACATCTCGGACACTCGTGGTGTGTACTTCACCCTGGCTTTGGAGAATGTCCAGAGTAGCAGAGGACCTGAAGGCAATGTCATGATTGACCTCTATGAGGTATGTCACCAAGCAGATGTGGTTCTGGAGGACAGCAGCTCCCAGACAAACTGGTGAAATATGGGTCACCTGATCATGCTAATGCTGGCCCTTGGACAGTGTCACTCCACCTGAGACAAGGGAAGACTCACAGGAAGTTCTTCTTGTTTAACTTGCAACCAATAGAATTTTTTAATAGACTTTTTCTTTTTTAATTGATCCCACTAGGCAAGAGCAGCTCCAGAGAAATTAGAAATTGTCTGGGGATAGAAACCACACAATTAAAGTCTTGCATATGATTGATCTACATGATGATATCATATTTGATATAAGATATAATATTTCAAAATAGATTTGAATGGCTGTCGGGGTTTTGTGGAGTGAATGAGTGGGCAGCACTCTTGCCTGCCTTTGAAGTGACTTGCATGGTGCATCTTTGTATGCTACGACAATGCATCCTGTTGGCCTTGAAGAATTTCCCAACTTGATAACCTCGGCTGGCTAGTGACCCACCTTTCAATGGCCAATGCATGAGATAATATTGATAAGATTATTTTTTTACCAAAATTAAATTAAATTAGTAGAAAAGGACAATAAGCAGAGATTATCCAACCTCCCTTGGGACACAGTGGCTCTTTTGTTTTCTAATAACCAATACTCAAAGTAAAACCATCTAAGTTGTATCAATAAGTTATAATGAAAAAAAGTACCAAAGGTTTCATTATCCTTGTTATGAACCGCAATGGTATTACTATGGTTATGAAGATTTATACTCTTATAGAAACAGAATGGGTCAGTTACAGACTTAATGTTTTTTCAAATAGAATATGGTACATCATTCCAACTCTTTAGAAAATAGAATTAATGTTTTCGTACCTCTTCCTCCCAAGGCCCAGGGACCATCACTGAAGAGGGTGGAGGAAGATTATAAATTCCAGATGCAGTGGATGATTACAGGCAGTATTTTCTGGACATGATGGAACAGGTGTACACAGGAACTCAGTGGTTGTTGACGGCATGCATAGGACCTTCCCAGTATCAAGTCAGAGAAAATCTTAGCATGGGAAGTCCCAGCCCTTGTGGAGGAGCTCCTAGAAACTGATGGTTGTGGGAGGAATAAGGAGAGTTAGTCCTCTTCTGGGCTGAATTGTCTTTAAAGGCACAATGGATATAAAACAGGCTATTTTTGGGGGATGAATTGCGTCTTTTGGTCAGTGTGGATGTATGATGACGGTTTCTAAATGAGTTAGAATGTGTTATTTAATAACATATTCAGGGTTAGAAAAGTGCTGTGGGACAATGGTTTTACCCTGTAAGAATGTGTTTCTTGTACTTGTTTAATAAAATGCTGATAGGCCAGTAGCCAGGCAGGAACTATAGGCAGGGCAATGAGAAGAAAATGAGAACACAAGAATTCTGGGAAGAGAAAGAGTCAGTCTACAGTTGTCATTCAGACACAGAGGAAACAAGATGTGACTACCTTGCTGAAAATGTACCAAGCCACATGGCTAACACAGACAAGTATTATAGGATAATATAAGTTATAAGAGTTAATAAGAAGTCTGAGCTAATAAGCCAATCAGTTTATGATTAATATAAATCTCTGTGTGTTTATTTGGGTCTAAATGGCTATTTTACCTGGCAGGAGAGAAACCTCAGTCAACAGAGAAATATAGTAATAGGCCTATACTCTGGAAAAAAAGTAAGCCATGCAGCCATAAAGACACTGTCATTTTGCTAAGATCAGGGATTCACAAGAAGCACCTGTGTTATGTCCAGAGAAAGAAACCAACTTTACTTAAGAAACTCAAGCCCAAATGTACATCCTTTTAATGTGTTCTATTTCCTCTTTTTTTAGAGGTGTAAAGCAACCTTTCCATAGTAGCTCAGCCTCTTTTGTATGCATAAAACCAGGCCCCTAGACTGAAATGTCCCGCAAAATAAAAAATAAGATGAAGTGCATGCTAAATTCAGAATTTGACAGACTAGTATATGATATACTTAGTGTATATATACTTAAGAAAATATACTGCAGATCTTTTCATCTTTGTATAAGCTTTTATCCCACTTTTCATCCCATGTTTCAGCTAGATATAGTGTCTCATCTCTCAAGCTCCAACTGAATATTTATTCTGGAAAACATTTACATAGTTTAAAGATTTAGTGTCAAGAATGCTCTAGATAAAGTTTGACTTATATTATGACATTTTTAAAATCCAGGCTGACTGAGTTTGAGTTCCAGTTGTACTGCTCTTCCTGTTGAAATGTCTGCTGAAGACAAGTGCATGCCTTCTGAGCCACGCTTGCCTTGTTGAGAATATAGAGATGCTCTGAGGATGAAGTCAATTAATCCTTGTTAACTACTATTGTAATGCCTGAAATACAGGGTTTTAGCAAAATGGAGAATTATTAGTGCAACCTTGCAGTGTGCTTAGACACCACTTAGCATTCTATTCTGATTGTCTTAAAACATACCCACATATTTTAATGTCCAGCACATCCCACCAGTAAGGATTTCTGCTTCTTTCCATATTGCAATGAGCAATGAAATCTGACATTCTTAACACTGGGTACTTGTCCTGCCAAGAAGTAGAAATTTCAACTCTCCTTTTCTCCTTTGGAAATTTCCTATGAACCTTTAAACTTGAAGTTTGTTTTGTTGAAATGCCTGTCATTCCCTTGCCTTGAGCCAGCCACACATCTGTGAGGGTATAGCCCATGTAGTCACAGTGGCTATGCCAGCTTAATGATCCAGTTCAGTTTCTTGAGCCTAGTTCCATCCTTTGCCTCACAGCCCAGCCTTAACACATGGGGAGGTGCTTAGTCTTACTGCAACTCGATATGCATGTATTGTTGATACTCACGAGAGACCTGCCCTTTCCTAAACAGAAATAGAGGGGGAGTGAATTGGGGGAATGGGAATAGAAGGAGTGGGTGGGAAGAGACCGAGAGGAGGGGGTGAGGGAAACAGACTGGGATATGAAATATGTAAATTAATTTAAAAATTTAAAAGATGAAAGGAAGAAAAGAGTAGATAAAAAATGCATAGCAAACAAACAAAAACCTGAAGAATTTATACCCACTACTCTAGGAAAGTCAGCAGAGTTACCCCAGGGGGTCTCCTCAGAATATTTTTAGCCATATTTGACCAGATAAGTAAGTTAATAGTAAATTTTAGTAAGATGCTAATATCAGTCATGTTTTGATTTATACAAATCAGTAAATATCTCTGGAACACTAAAAGCAAACAAAACACACTTTTAGTTTTCTTCCTCCTGACTACCCCTTTCCCTTTCAATTCAAATGGGTTCTTTCCAATTCAGTTCAAAAATGCATTCTCTAGATTAATTGTATTTTCTGTAGTAAATGAAGACCATGTTAAATATCGGTCCTTTGATGGCGAAACAGGTGAATAAACTGGGCAGGAGTAACTTTGCAATGAACCATTTGCAACCATTTCTTTTTAACTAATGGCTTTATGCATTCAAACACTGCATCAGGTATGGGATGAGGGGAAGCAGCAGCAGCAGCATGACTGCAGGACACAACAAGCATTCCTTGTTAATCCTGCATTTGCCCTTCATGTGTCTTGCTGTTGACTCTCTGCAGGGAAACTGCTGGCTCTTATTAGCATCACTTTGAGCAGTGGTGTGACTACATTATGTAAAGGTGTTCTGCATCCCGGGGCAGGGAGAGCAGTGTCTTTGTTTTATTAGCCTGACAGTTCAGAGCAACTTGAATTGAAATTGATGTGAGCAGAACAGCAGTGGCATATCTGCTGATTACCTAGAAAGAAAGAATATTGGCAGACACAAGGCCTGGCACAAACGTTCCCTTAAATCTGATTGTTCTGGCTAGCAGGAAGATGAAATTCATCCAGTGTGAATTTCCCCATAGAATTGCAATGAATGATGAGCGCTTAGAGATAAGTGAGAAGCAAGAGAATTCATAAATGAACTAATAAGTAACAGAGATGAACATCATATGAGGTGGGCATGACAGAGATAGGACCCATGGAGTGTGTGTTTGCTCACATCGGGGTGATGGAGAATGCCATTCCTTTATGTGCCTCCGAATACCAGTTACCTGCCATTCCTGCACACGTGTACTCGCGAAGCCATTGAGGAAATGCAGACTGAAGAGAGAAGTGTATAGGTGGGACTCTGTCTCAAGTATGCATCCACATGGAGAGCTTTGTGAAGACAACAACTGAAACCTCACTTCCTACTAAATACAACCATTTACTTCACACACATTGTCACCTGGGTACAAGCTCTGTGCTTTCAATTCTATAACTATGTGTGTATGTGTAGTGAGATATGAAAGTGATGAAACAAAATATTAGAGACAGAGTACTCTGGTTTAGTCAATGAAATACCAGAATTTTCTCATAGTGTGAGTTATCTATTTGACATGCTCTTTAGTCAAGAAGGTGAAGAAATGTGAGCCAGGACTTTTGGTTATGGACCAAACATCCCAGGAATGGATTTTTAAACAAAATTTAGTGATAATAGTTAATTTGGGGTATCATTATGTACAAAATAATGTATAAAGAACTTTCCTTAATTCTTTTGATTGACCCATAAATTAACATTTGGATGACTGCAGTCTCTTCCTCCTTGTTAGGTAAAGAGGAGAGAGTGCATAGGCACTTTCACAAGGTTACAGAGTGAACTTAGGGATCAAATCTAAGGGTATGTGGATGTTCAACTACAGTGTACCATGTCTCCTGAAAGATCAGAGTGCTTTTGTTTGATTGTGGATGTTCAATAGTGTAAAGACTGAAGGATAAGTTAAGACTGTAGTAATAGTCTTCATCTTCCCAGACAAGGAAAAAAAGCAGACAGAAAGAAGAAAGCAATGAGGAAAACAGTCAATTGCTTTATGCCTGTGCCTAGACTTTCAGAACCAAGTCCAAAGTTACATACAAATCCAGACAATAATTGCATATAGTTGCCAACTTTGTCTTACAGAAGGAAGTATGTGTGGAAATTATGAAAGCAAATATTCTAAAATTCCAT